GTAGTTCATTTTTGCTTTTGTTTCCCTTGCCTCCAGAGTCATGTTGAGTAAGAAGTTGCTGCGGCCAAGATCAAAGACGTTTTTGCCTGCTTTCTCCTCGAGGATTTTGATGCCTTCCTGTCTTACGTTTAGGTCTTTCATCCATTTTGAGTTTATTTTTGTGTCTGGTGCAACAAAGTGGTCCAGGTTCATTCTTCTGCATGTCGCTGTCCAGTTTTCCCAGCACCACTTGCTGAAGAGACTGTCTTTATTCCATTGGATATTCTTTCCTGCTTTGTCAAAGATTAGTTGGCCATACGTTTGTGGGTCCATTTCTGGGTTCTCTATTATGTTCCATTGGTCTGAGTGTCTGTTCTTGTGCCAGTACCATACTGTCTTGATGATTACAGCTTTGTAGTATAGCTTGAAGTCCGGGATTTTGATGCCTCCAGTATTTGGTTTTCTTTTTCAAGATTGCTTTAGCTACTCAGGGTCTTGTCTGGTTCCATAGAAATTTTAGGATTGTTTGTCCTAGCTCTGCAAAGAATGCTGGTGTTATTTTGATAGGGATTGCTGCCCCATGCTTTCTACTAGATCAACATATTTCCTTTTTGCCATGGCTGTTGGGAAGCTCACAGTCAAGGATGGTGTCCACTTGTAACGATTAACTCATTCTAGGGGCCTAGTAACAGGTCGTTTCTTGCTTCCTTTAGCTGATTTTTGTTATTGATTGATTGCCTTTTAAAGATTATTTATTTATTTATTTTTGAGACAGAAAAAGAGAGTGAGCGAAGAGGGCAGAGGAAGAGGGAGAATCTCAAGCAGGTTGCGTGCTGTCAGCACAGAGCCCGATGCCGGGCTCGAACCCATGAACTCTGAGATCATGACCTGAGCTAAAACCAAGAGTCAACGCTCAACTGACTGAGCCACCCAGGTGCCCCTAAGTGATTGATTTCTATATTTGTTTTTTATATAACTGTTCTTTGGTATGTTCTATCTTAGGAAGTCATCTCAGATTATTTACCCCAACAGGTGTAGTTTCAATCATCGTGAAAAGAAGAAAAAGTCTCCTGTACTCTGCGAGAGGTTAGGGGGCATGCCCTGTACATTATCCTCGTGACCCACCGTATCTGGGAGAGTACATACATGCGGAAAATGCTCATTAAAAATATGCTAAATACATTATATAATTCCTAATACTTATGATGTTCGTGGCTCTCCCCATGGAAAGTTCTGTAAGGAGACTGAATGACAATGGGATGTGAATCTTTTCTATTTCCTGTCTCCTGTGGCACCTGTCTGGTAACATCAGTGCAGCGGCTAATATGCCAGTTTTCCTTTTATTTGGTGCCTGGACTCTGCTAAATGCCTCACTGGACGGACAGCCTAAGAGGCTCACAGAGAACTGTTGCTCCTCTAAGAGGAAATCAATGACAGAAGTCTGGTGCTCACTGTTTCCAGTGGTGGCAGTGTCCTTGGTAACCCATCTCTCTCAGGTTTGCCCCCCAACTCCCACCTCCCAGAGTCTCCGCCTGGTGCGTTATGAACTTAACTCACTCTCTTGAAATCAGAGGCTCATCTTTACGTCGTGATTCAATGAGGACAGCCATTCTGAGCTGGGAATGGCTCCCTAGGGACATCTGGCTGCAGCCGAAACTGCCCATCTCTCAATCGTTCCTAACAAGATCCACATCATGCACATTTCAAAATGGCCCAATAGGACTGTGCTCAGCATGGCTAATGAAGGATTTTAGCCTTTGGCAAAGAAATGGCAGGGTTGGTTAAGATCAAACTGTTTCATTTAAGACTGATGGTCTTTTAACAAGCTCCCAAGGAACCCATGAAAGGGTCTGTAGAATAAAGCAAATAATCAGAACCCATAAACAAGGACCCTTTAGTGGAGGCGCCACACCTGTTTGCGTTTTTACATTCCCTTTTTTGTTCTTCCCCCTGCTGTGTGCTAAGGGTATAGGGATTTTGATGATGAAAAAGAAAAAAAAACCCAAAACCAGATTAGATCATGTGCTGCTGGTTCTCAGCCAGCTTTACTAGATTGCATCTCCCAAATGAAGAAGTTGAAATTTTTGTTTTGACATTTAGGAGCTTACAGGACCTGACTGCCACCTTCCTTTTTAATTACTTGCTCCCCGTTCTCTGTCATCACGTGTCCTGGGCTCGGGCTGTCCCAGCCAGCTCTTGGTAGCTTTGCACTTTTTGCTTATTTTCCTTCCTCTGCATGAAGGCTTTCCTACTCCCACCTCCCCACTCCACCCTCCGTCATGTTTACAGAACTCAAATTCCTTCCCTAGTGAGGAGAGGAAGCTGCACCTCCCTATGCGGGCGGAGTTTTGCTTGCCCTAATTCCATTGGGCCCGGATAGCAGATAACTGTCCATTTCTGCTTCTCCCCAAGACCCTACACTGCCAGAGGGCAGAGCCTGGGTATATACGGTTGTATCTTCTAGTGCCCAGCCAGAGCCTCGGATGCAGGAGGCTCTCATAATCATGGGTTGTGGAGCGGCGTGTTCTTCTTGTTCTTTTTAAAATCAAGTTTTATTAGTTCAAAACATGCCATACGTTCATGCTCAAAAGGTACAAAAGAGTCAAAAGTCACCCTTTTCTCTAGCCACCAGATTCCTTTCTATGTAAACAACCAATATCATCAGCTTTTTATGAATGTTTCTAGATATATGTAAACATATATATTTCCCCCTCCTTTTTAAAAAAGTTTATTTGAGAGAGAGAGAGAGCACGTGCGCGAGTGGGGGAGGAACAGAGAGAGAGAGAATCCTAAGCAGGCTTCATGCTATCAGTGCAGAGCCCAACATGGGGCTTGAACCCACAAACTGTGAGATCATGACCGAGCTGAGATGAAGAGTAGGATGCTTAACTGACTGAGTCACCCGGGCGCTCCCTCCCTCCTTTTTGAAATAAATGGGATCATACTTAAACAGGTTTGCACTTTGCGTTTTCACATTACTATGCTCATATACACCTACTTAAAAAAATTTTTTTAATGTTTATTTTTTAGAGAGACAGAGACAGAGCATGAGCGGGGCAGGTGCAGAATGAGAGAGGGTGGGACAGAATCCGAAGCAGGCTCCAGGCTCTGAGCTGTCAGCACAGAGCCTGACGCGGGGCTCGAACTCACAAGCTGTGAGATCATGACCTGAGTCGAAGTCGGACACTCCGCTGACTGAGCCACCCAGGTGCCCCCCCGTATACACCTATTTTTAAAACTTACTTAACCAATTAACTATTGATAATGTTGACATTGTTTTTATTCTTATTAAAAACAATGCTGCAATGAATAATCGTGTATATTTGTCATGTTCAGATGTGTAAGAATTTATGTAGGGAGAATTTCTGGAGGTGGAATTTCTAGGCCAATGGGTGTGGGCACTTTTACTCTTGATCATCATTGCCTAATTGTTAATTATAAGGAATGTGCAGTTTCACACCCATCAGCAATATATGACAGCCTCTGTCCCTGCACCTTTGCCAACACAATGTGTTATTAACTTTTGGGCAAGTTCCATTAAAAAAATTAAAGTTAGACTTCATTTTAAGTGTACATGCATGTGACAAATTCACGATCACCTCTTGGATTGAAAATCATCAAAAGTATCTGGGGATGTTAACAATCTGGAGATTCTAACCCCATGTTCTTGGTTAGACTCCAAGTAATTCTTGGTTGACTCCAAGGATAATTAAGGAATGTGGTCGAAAATGTCGTGGATAGCCAATTTCTTTAGTAAAGAGGTTTTATTTTTGTGGCGAAATTTACAGATTTTAGATGCATTTTACATATTAATTTTGACCCGTGGGTACCTTCCTACATTTTCAAGAATTTAAAGCATAACCTGTAGGAGCTAGCTTGATGAACACACGGATGTTTTGGGTAAGATTTTGTGTATCTTCTGATTATTTTATTTTTTTTTAAATTTTTTTTTTCAACGTTTATTTATTTTTGGGACAGAGAGAGACAGAGCATGAACGGGGGAGGGGCAGAGAGAGAGGGAGACACAGAATCGGAAACAGGCTCCAGGCTCTGAGCCATCAGCCCAGAGCCCGACGCGGGGCTCGAACTCACTGGACCGCGAGATCGTGACCTGGCTGAAGTCGGACGCTTAACCGACTGCGCCACCCAGGCGCCCCTCTTCTGATTATTTTAGTTAAGAGATCACTAAAGAGGTCAGAAGATAGTCTGGAAGCTGTTCTATAGTCGTCTTGTGAGGATTAAATGGCATGTCCGTAATACTTCTGTCACAGTACCCGACACATAACAGGCACTCAACAAAATAGCTGTAACTATTAGTTAACAAATATGTTGTTGTAGGAGTGATGCCAGATTAAAGGGCTACTTTGGTGGTATAATCTGCCCTCTTGGAGGTTAAGGGCTCTGGAGTGTGATGAATTCCTCTCTAGCACTCATTAGCAGTGTGACTTTGTGCATATTCCCTAACTTCCCCGGCCTCAGTTTTCGCGTCTGTAAAGTGGAAGAATAAAATCCAAGGCTCAAGGTTTGCCATAAGCTTAAATGTGCAATACTCCTAAGTGCCTGCTAACACTCGTCCTCTTCTTTCTTCTCAATCTACTGACTGGAGCCATCCAAGAACCCATCAAACAACCCAGTAAGCCCAGGAAACCAGAGGGATCGAGACCAGGGCGCCGCGAGCACGTCAACTGTGGCCGGTGCGCCGCGCGTCCAAGCGGAAGAAGGGTCAGGAGCGACAAGCCGTCGCCGAGCTCCCCCAAACCATCCCGCTCCTCCCCTCCGCGAAGTAGACCCCGCCGCCGTGCAGGCTGCCGTGCAGGCCGCCGCAGCCGGACGATCACCCCGGCGACGCCGCCTTCCGGTCTGCTTGGCCCCGCCCACTTCCGGTGCCGGCGCCGCGCGTCATCGCCTGGGGACCGAGAGCCGGTCTCGCGAAGGGCGGTGCGGGGGCGCGGTCCCGGTGGAGGGCGGCGGAGCTCCGGGGGCGCGCGGCCTGACCTCGGCGTCGCCACCGGCACGCGGCCATGGAGAGCGGAGGGCGGCCCTCGCTGGGCCAGTTCATCCTCCTGGGCGCCAGCTCTGTCGTCACCGCCGTCCTGTACTCCGTGTACCGGCAGAAGGCCCAGGTCGCCCAAGAGCTCAAGGTCAGTGCTGGAGCCAGCCTGGCCTCAGCCGGGTCACCCCTGCCCCCGGTCCTGGTGAGCCCACGGTTCGCCTTGGGCCGCTCCAGCGTCGGAAACTTGGCCAGAGGGGAAACCGGCCCTGACAGGTGTCGCTCCGCCAGTCCCTGGAAGGGCTAGGACCGGAATTCGGGTTTCGTAATAACCGTTTCACTGCCCCCTTTCCTCCGAAGCCCCTCTCATTACTCGGAATCTCGATTTCATGACTTTATTCGACAACTATTTGTTGACCACCGACTCTGCTCCAGGCCCTCGGGGACCAAAGTCCCTACCCTCACGGAGATCGCCTTCTGGTACAAGCAGACAGACAGTAACAAGTACATCAGATGGCATGACAGATGGGGAGAAAAATACTACAAAATAATGTGGTGAAGAGAGGAAATGCAGTGCTGGAGAAAGGGAGGTTTGCTATTTTAAATAAGGTGACATTTAGCAGAGCCCAGGAGGAGGTGAGGGAGACCGTGCAGGTGTCTAGGGGAAGAACAATTCAGATGGAGGCGATAGCAAGTGCAGAAACCCTAGACTTTGCCCATTTATGTAACTACTCAGTTCCTTGCATCTACAGACTCTTCCTTTTTAATATTTTAGTTATTTTAAAAATAACTCTTCCTTGGGCTGCCCTTTACAGCTTAGCACCTTCTCATCTTTTTTTTTTTTTTTTTTTTTTTTTTTTTTTTTTTTTTTTTTTTTTTTTTTTTTTTTTCTTCACGATAATTTTTTGAGGTAGAGAAAATGACAGTTCCCTCCAGATTGCAAAGCAGGAAATTGAGAGTCAGAGGAAAGGTCTTACAGCTGGTCTGGTTGGAACTTAACGTGAGGTCTTTTGATTCCAAGTGTGGGATTTTTTTTTTTTTTTTTTCTGATTGACCACATTGCTTTATTGTGAATGTCTGGCCCATGAGAGATGGACCTCTTTAGGTCGGAGGCAGGGTCTCATTTGTGCTTTGTCTTTCTTTCCTTCTAGGTTCTAACTCCGTGCTTGACGAGTGATAGATGCTCAGTAGATGTTTGTCGATTCCTTTTGGCTGAAATGTCCCAATATCGCAGTTAGGGCTTAACTTGACATTTATCTGAAGAAGGCTTCCTAAACCAGACTCAGCTCATTATCATCATATCGTTTTCAGTGGAATCCCTGCTATCGAGGGGAGTGTTGGAATCCATCTGAAATGAACTGGGTTACCACGCAGTTGGATTTGTGGTGCATATGGCCTCCTCGTGAGATTCCAGCTGCCCAGTTGTTTTTCTGATTATAAATAAGTCACTCCTGAAGTGATTGGCTAGGAGTGTAACTGATAACTTCACTTGCTGCCTCTCAAAGTCAGAAATCAGGTTGGCATCAGGCTGGCTGAATGTGGGAGCTTTGAAACCGTGAACTCTCCAGGATCCGTTTTCGAAAAGTCTTGCCAGTTAGTTCCCAAATGAGGATGAAAAAGCCCCTTCCTGGAAAGAGTCGGGATTCCTAACATTTTAGAGTCTGTTCTCTTGATCATACTGCAAAACTTCCAGAGTAGGTTTGAGTCTTATCCTTGTGGATCTCTCATGGCGATGGGAATACATACTGCATGCCTGCTATGTGCCCGTCCCTGGGCTAGGCTCTCCTACACCTTAAGCTTCATTTAGTACACCTAAAACTCCGGTGAGATTTTTCTCCCCAGGTTTTTAAAAAGTCTTTTAATGTTTACTTATATTTTGAGAGAGAGAGAGGGAGACGGAGGGGCAGAGAGATAGAAACAGAGTCTGAAGCAGGCCCCAGGCTCTGTGCTGACAGCTCAGGGCCTGGAGCCGGCTTCGGATTCTGTGTCTCCCTCTTTCTCTCTCCTCCCCCACTCACGCTCGGTCTCTCTCTTCTCAAAAATAAATAAACGTTAACAAAAAAATAAAAAAAAGTCGAACTGGCCATTCTGTGGTGGATACTTTCCCAGTTGTGTGACTTCAAGCAAATCACTTCACCTCTCTGAGCCTCCGTTTCCTTGTCTGTAGTTGGGGATAATAATGTCTACTGTATAGGGATGGTAGGAGCATCACATGAACTTACGCACTTAAAGTGTCTAGCTTAGTGCCTGGTGTATACAGCTGACCTTGGAACAACATGGGTTTGAACTGTCTGGGTCCACTTATCCGCAGGTTTTTTCTGATAAATACAGGACGGCAAATGTATTTTCTCTTAACGATTTTTAAAAAAAATACTTTTTTTTTCCCTCTAGCTTGCTTTAGTACAGGAATAGAGTGTAAAACACGTATACAAAATATGTATTGGTTGATTGCTTATGTTATCAGTAAGGCTTCTCATCAAAGTAGGCTATGAATAGTTAAATTATATACAGATTTTCAAGTGTGGGGGGGCGTCGGTACTGCTAACCCCTGCATTGTTCAAGGGTCAACTGTAGTGGGTCTGAGTGGTTATTCTCTAATGTATTCATCAGACACCTATTGGGCGCCTGCTATGGGTCAAGCACTGTTCTCGCCACTGGGGGGGGGGGACAGCAGTGAACAAGACAAGCAAGGTCCCATCATCTCCCACAGTTGAATAGTCCGGGGGAGGGAGACAGATAACAAGTCAATAGACTGTAAGCGTGAGTTGCTAGGCTGCTATTTGCATTATCCTCACAGGATAGGTGGTTAATAAGTTTGTATTGACGTGGCTCCTGTCGTTTACTGTATAGCACTAGCCTCACCTCACAGTGACCTCAGGGTGCCAAGTCCCCCCTCACTCCCAGAGGCTTTACTTGCCTGGCATCTTCAGATTTGTTGACGGCGATATGCCGCAAGTAGGGAGTGTCCTTCATCCCTGAATGCCCAGCGCCCAGCACAGTGCCTGGCGCATGGATGCTCAGGACACGGTCATTGATTTTATTAATTTTGTCTTGTTTGTGATGCAGCGGGCGCCAGGCGTGGTGGGTCCCCACGCGCGGTAGGTCGGAGGCTGAATGGAGGGAGGGGTGGCAGGAGTAGGGAGGTGGCAGCGGTGGTCACCGTGCTCGCCTGCTTGTCCAGGGGTAGGACGGCGAATGGGAAAGCGGGAGAATAGCGCCAGCAAACAGAGCCTCACCCTGCAAAGTGAAGGCATCCCTTTCCTGCCATGCGTGATGGGGAGCACGGATGGAGACATGCTCAGAGACCCCGCTGCCTGGGCCACTGCCACGCGTCTGGCACCCGTTTAGGTGCTTTACACGTAAGGCCTTTGGATGCGCAGTTCGGTGTCGTCAGGAAGAGATTAAATCATGGTCAGTCTATGGTATGAAAACTGATAAGTACCTTTGCTGTTTTCACCAAAAGAAGTTAAAACGCAAAGGAGGGTATGTTTCCAATAACAGGAGAAAGAATGTGCACGGCACCCTGGTCTCTAGATGGTACACGCCTGGTTATGTGGTACAACTTCCGGGACACAGCTTGGGGACGTGGTTCTCCACACTCTCCTTCCTGCCTGATTTCCTCATTCTCCCGACGTGAGACAAGCAAACAGTCATTTTCTTGTTTGGCCTTTAGGTTTGATAGAACGCGCAGTACTCATCAGTCAGCGTAATATGTTGTTTGCATTTAGGGAGCGAAAAGAATCCACTTGGGTGAAGACTTGAAGAGCATTCTTTCAGAAGCTCCAGGAAAATGTGTGCCTTATGCAGTTATTGAAGGTATGTTTATTTATTGGTAAAATTAAAAACTTCCTCTTCTAAAAGTTTGATAAAAATCTTGGCTGACATCGAGGGCCTTTTGTAGCCTTGGGGCAGTGGTCCAGAACTTGGGCTTCAGGGTCAGAAAGACCTGGGTTTTTGCTGTGTGATCCTGGGGGCAACCACCGAACCTTTCTGAACCTCCCTTGCCCCATCTGTAAAGGAATTCCTCCCTTACAGGGCTGTCGTAAAGCTGAAATGAGGGATCCTTGTAAAGTGCTTAGCAGAGCGCCCGCAAAACATAACCTGCCGTGATAATCATTTTCATCATTTTGATTAATTAAGCTCAAACCAGACAAAATGTAAATCACCGTAAAAGGAGAGGGCGGAAGAATTCTTCAGAAGGCGAATAATTTGTTTCCGTTTAGGAGCTGTCCGATCGGTTAAAGAAACGCTTAACAGCCAGTTCGTGGAGAATTGCAAGGGAGTGATTCAGCGGCTGACCCTGCAGGAGCACAAGATGGTGTGGAATCGAACCACCCACCTCTGGTACGCATCCCCTCTCGCCTCACCACCCCTCACGGTTGGTCGGCTCGGACGCTGGTGTCGCGCACAGACCAGTTTCTTCATGCTGACAGCGTGCTTGCGTATGGCCTGAGGACCTCTTCCATCAGAGTCCCCGAGGCATCTTGTTCAAATGCAGGTTCCTGGGCTGCGTTCCAGACCTCCCGAGCCAGCATTCGCACCGTGGGGGGTGTGGAACCTGTTGGTATGCCCACTGAGTTTGAGAACCACCGATTTATGGCATGGGTTTGTGAATTCAGCATCTATTGCAACAGTTTTGTGCCATCACACAGACAACCGTTTTTCCAACTGACCTAGTTTTTTGTGTGGTGTTGTTTTGTTCTGTATTTTGTTTTTTATCGTGGTAAGAGCGCGTAACGTGAGACCTACCCTTCTGGCACGTTTGGGAGCGTGGCAGGCAGTGCTGTTACTTCCAGCACATCTCCAGACTTTCTTCGCCTCGTATAACTGAAACTTTATACCCATTGTACAACAACTCCTGTTTTCTTCTTCCCCAGCCCCCGGTGACCACAGTCTGCTGTCTGTTTCTATGAGCGTGACCTTTTCAGATCGTCGTGTACGCGTTTGTCTTTCTGCTGAGTGGCCCAGTTCGCTCAGCACGCCGTGCTCCAGGCTCATCCCTGTTGTCGTCACAGACGGCAGAGTGTCCGTCTTTTCTGTGGCCGAGTGATGTCCCACTGTGTGCGTGTCACGTTTTCTTTAACCACTCAGCCGCTGACGGGCACCCAGGTTTCCGTGTCTTGGCTCCCATGACCAATGCTGCAGGGAACAGGGGAGTGCAGCTACCTCTTTGAGATCCTGATTCCAGTTCTTTGGGATGTAACCCCAGAGGATTGGGATTGCCGGATCATATGGTAGTTTTTGTTTGTTTGTTTGTTTGTTTTTTTAAATTTTTTTTTCAACGTTTTTATTTATTTTTGGGACAGAGAGAGACAGAGCATGAACGGGGGAGGGGCAGAGAGAGAGGGAGACACAGAATCGGAAACAGGCTCCAGGCTCCGAGCCATCAGCCCAGAGCCCGACGCGGGGCTCGAACTCACGGACCGCGAGATCGTGACCTGGCTGAAGTCGGACGCTTAACCGACTGCGCCACCCAGGCGCCCCTGTTTGTTTGTATTTTAATGTTTATTTATCTCGTGAGAGAGAGAGAGAGAGAGAGAGAGTGCATGCAAGCGGGGGAGGGGCAGAGAAGGGGCGACAGAGGATCCCAAGCGGACTCTGTGCTGACAGCAGAGAGCCCGACTCAGGGCTGGAACTCATGAGCCGTGAGATCATAACCTGAGTCAAAGTCAGATGCTTAGCCGACTGAGCCACCTGGGCACCTTTGTCGTAGTTCTGTTTTTAATGTTTTTAAAGAAATCGGATGTTTGTTTGAATGTGGCAAAGAGAAATAAATGGCAGAAGTGACCTGTGACAGTGTTTATTGCCCACTGGTATTGCCCGAGAACCTAAAAAATTGAGCTTCCCTATTGAGGCACTCGGATAGTAGCGATTTGTGTGTATTCTTCTAGGTATTTCAAACTTTATCCTGTCCTGGCATTTCGGCCATCCCGTCTCTGCCTGGGCATGAAGTGTTTGCTGTCCTTCATTTTATCTTGGGCTCTCTTGCTGTCTTAGGAATGACTGCTCAAAGATCATTCACCAGAGGACCAATACGGTGCCCTTTGACCTGGTACCCCACGAGGACAGCGTGGACATGGCCGTGCGAGTGCTGAAGCCCCTGGACTCCCAGGATCTGGGCCTGGAGACTGTGTACGAGAAGTTCCACCCCTCCATCCAGTCCTTCACTGATGTCATCGGCCACTATATCAGCGGCGAGCGGCCCAAAGGCATCCAGGAGACCGAGGAGATGCTGAAGGTTGGGGCCACACTCACGGGGGTCGGCGAGCTGGTCCTGGACAACAACTCCGTCCGCCTGCAGCCCCCCAAGCAGGGCATGCAGTACTATCTAAGCAGCCAGGACTTTGACAGCCTGCTGCAGAGGCAGGAGTCGAGCGTCAGGCTCTGGAAGGTCCTGACGCTGGTCTTTGGCTTTGCCACATGCGCGGCCCTCTTCTTTGTCCTCCGAAAGCACTATCTGCAGCGGCAGGAGCGGCTGCGCCTCAGGCAGATGGAGAAGGAGTTCCAGGAGCACGAGGCCCAGCTGCTGAGCCGCGCCAAGCCTGAGGACAGGGAGAGTCTGAAGAGCGCCTGCGTCGTGTGTCTGAGCAACTTCAAGTCCTGCGTCTTTCTGGAGTGTGGGCACGTTTGTTCCTGTGCCGAGTGCTACCGCGCCTTGCCGGAGCCCAAGAAGTGCCCCATCTGCAGACAGGAGATCACCCGGGTGATTCCCTTGTTCAACAGCTAACAGTCTGGAAGCCCCACAGGTAGACGTGAAGGGACCCCCCCCCCCCAAACCTTCTCAGGAATTTTCGTCTTGAGGCCTTTAGCAGAGCAGTGATGGGGGCAGCTGTTATCCTAGGTACGACCGAGGGAGGGGACTGGGGGAGTCAGATCTCACGCCTCTAGCACTAGATGATGCCTTTCCACCCTGAGGGGGACCCTTCCAGCACTGCCTCAGAATCCCAGCCCCACCCTGGCTGGGTGTGGTGGCCTTGCATTCCTTCCTGGAACCTGAGGAGTGTGCGTGTGACTGACAACACCTCATCGCTCAAGGGCCCGAGCCAGTGACCTCTAGCTCTTCTGTTCTGGTGTCTTCTGGTCCTTTCTGGGGAATTGCTCGTTCCCGTGGACTTCAGCCTTGAGTGACTCAGCCAGCAGGGAGGCAGAAGTCGGGCTCTGGGTGCGGTGTGTGTCTGGAGGAGCTGCCTCTGAAGAGACTCTCAGTCTTGCTTGTACCCCAGGAGGAAGCCAGGCTGGCCGTGTCACTCGTGTCCCTTTCCCTCACCGGCTTACCTCGTAAATGTGTGCACATGTGTGTCAGGACGGAAGAGAGTGAAGTCTGGCATTTGCCTTCTACCTAAAAGACGGGAACTGCTCGGCAAGCTGAAGAGCGGTCACTTGAAGGGACAGTTGCGCTATCTTGCGGTCCCTGGTGGTGAAGACGGCAGCTTGGCCGCGGCCCTTCCAGTGATCTAAAGGCAGGGCTGTCAGAGCGCTCCTCCGGCCCTGGTTGGGACCTCCCGAGACCTGAGGGGGCCGAGGGCTGGCTCCAGCTCTCCCGGCCTGAGATCAGCTGGAAAGGCATCGCCACCTGAAGGAAGCGGTAAGGCCTCTGCAGCCCCGGCCTCCCGGCCATCTCCGCTTCCCTCCAAGGCTGTCACCGAGGACAAGCAGCCAGCCAGCACCCCGAGCACAGAGCCTTTTCCAGGGTCCCGCCTCCTCACGTGGGAAAGTTAACATCCCGTGGGTGTAGTCACATCGCCCCCTCTGGATTGCCGTTCACCCCCTCACCTGCCAGACGAGGAGGGGAACCTCTCACCCCCTCCGGGGAGTCACAGTCTTATACACAGCTCTTCTCTCCCTTCCCTGGCTCTGAACATCCATCCCCATCCTCCTCTGTGTGGGGGCGGTGGGGGTGCTCTCAGGGGGCTGACTCCAGTTCTATGCAGCGTCCAGTGTGGACAGCACAAATTAAACACGTTACCACCAAGTGTTAGCCTGTTGCTTTGTCAACAAAAGTTCGATGGTTAGGCTGAGGCTTGCCCGAGATGGAATGGAATCCCGCCGCGGTGGGATGATCTAGGGACCTCAAGGCCTCTGTGTATATCTTCTTTCTCTGTAGAGAGGTGGTTGGGGGCTCCCCCAACCACAGGTGGTGTGCAGCTTGGGGAGGCGGAGGCCTGGGGGAGGGCGTTCCGGAGGCCAGCCTGTAGGTGGCGCTGGCCTCACTGAGACAGCCATCTTTGAAGAAGTCCTGACCAGAGGGGCACCGAGACCGTGGGACAGCCGTGGGGGGCTGGAGGATAGCGGGGAGGAAACTGATGTGTAGAGTGTTGTACTCTGTGCTCTTTCAAGCTTTAATTTCAAGGCAGGTTAATCCTCACAAAACCTGCAGGCTCTCATGGCATCTCTCACAGTCAAGGAACTAGCCCAAGAGGGGAAGTTCACTGGGCTAGGGGCTTGCAGCTGATACGTGCTGGCTCTACATTTAAACTCCCAAGATGTTTTCAAAGCCCCCTCCTGCTGTGGCAGTGGGGCTGGCTAATTTCCTCCGTGTGCGGGACTATCCCACAAGGTATCGCTCCCATGTTAGCGGAGGGGCCAGCTGTGCAGGAACAGGCAGACGCGAGAACCCTTGTGCCTGTACCGAGTCCTGTCCGGTGAGGTGGGAAGAGTTTGGGTTTCCATGGAGCTGCCTTGGGGGTCGGGCAGGGTGAGGGGGTGGCCGAGCGTCCTGAAAGCACCTGCCCCCTTTGTCCTGTCCTTCAGGCCTTTGGCAGAGGGTGAATGAGCTGCCTGTGGTGGGTGTGTGTGGCAGTCTACCGAGAGTTCAGCCCTCGGCACAGATTTCATGCGAAAAATCAGACCAGAGTGATCGAAGAGGGAAGGCAACCTGCTCTACCCCAGCTCCTCTCAGATCTGGGCAGATCGCATCTGCCCCAAGTGTTTTTCCAAGCGGAGCTGGGGGAGACCCACAGCAGCACACTGTCCCTGCCCTAGGAAGTGACAGCTGGTTGGGAACATGGGCACACATATCCTCAGGTTCTGGATTTGAGGTCCCTGCTAGGTCCTAGCCCAGCTGGGGCTGGGACTGTCACAGTCTCGTTCACCTGTGGCAGTTCCCACATTCCATCCCGGGAGCCTCGTCTCCAAGAAGGTTGAACAGGACCTATGCTGGACGGAGATGGGCCCAGGCTGGGAGCAGGGCATGACAGGGGGGTGAGGACATAGCGGTTAGTTCTGGACTGGCCTTGGGATAGTTGAGAGTTTTCAATTCTTTGCTGATTCAACCCTTATGCTCACCACTTTAATCCTAGGCAAACAGCTTTAGAAGTCATCTTGAATAACCACGCCTGGCTTTGAACGTGTGCTAGGCACTTCATATGTGTTAATGCGTGTGGTCTACAAAGTGGATATTGTCATCCCCAGTTTACAAGTGAGAAAAGGGAGCGTTATGTTTGTGCTTACAGCCACACATCCTCAGGAGCCAGCCAGTGTTAGCTTCCTTACAGGCCTTGTTTCTTAGACTTAGGGCAAGCAATCAGGGGAGACTGAATCACCCCTTTTTACAGGTTATGTGATGTGCTGAAGGCTACCAAGGTCTGACTATAATGCCTAATGTGATAAAAGGCAGTTCGTCTTTTATCACATGAAGCCTGAGAGGCTAAGAAGGGAAGTTGTCCAACAGACAACCGAGTATTACAGACACATAGTGTTTTCCAAGCCAGTCAGCACATTAACAATCACGAGTCACACCCTGGTTTTACATACCACAGGGTAAGGCTTTGAGGTTCCCTAGCTTATCTTGATGAAACAGGAGCTGGAAGGCAGGTCTTTGGAATCCTAACCCATTCAGAATTATGATAGAATATTCTAGAAGCAACAATATGTGGAACAACTAAACAACAGCACAACAAACTTGGCCAATCTGACACCCTTTATCACCCTGGTCTTAGGCCATGAAACCCCCAATTGGGTGATGGATCCAGTGCTGATCCCACAGGGCCTCTGGAATGCTCAGAGAAAGAGTTTGGTATCATTGACGAGCACTTACTCATCTAACAAACACTTGCTAAATGTATATTCTGTGTCTGGAGATGCAAAAATGAATAAAACAGCCTCTGCCCTCAAAGGGCTCAGAGTTGTCTTAATAAACCCCAACTGTCTGAAAGGCAAGTAAACCCTATTGGACGGGTGTGGTGACTCTCAGTTGTTGGGAATATATGTGGTCCACACAATAGCGTAGCTAGGATGGGCCTTTGAAATTGGCCTGGTTAGAGCAGATTCCCTGACCATTTAAAATAAACCATCCAAGGGCACCACATCATTGCTGAAGGGGAGCCAAGCAGAGAAGATCTACCCCACAGAGCCCAGAATGACCTACTTAAAACACCAAGTTGATCGTGTCCCTTCTCTGCTTAAAGCCCTTCCCCAGGCTCCCTGTCATCTCCAGGCCCAAGCCCTGACTCATCCATGGCGTCTGCAGGCCTGTGTGACCCAGCCCCTGGCCACCTCTCCAAGCCTCTCTGCAGCTCTCTTTCTCACACCTGTGGCTCCGGCAGCAAAGGCACTGAGGTTCCTGAAATGTGCCATGCTGAGTCCTGCCTCTGGAACCCCAGATCTTTCTTCACCTTGCTAACATCTACTCACCCTTGAAAACTCAGCTTTAGGTGGTGTCTCCTCCCTTCCTAGATGCCTAGGCAGAGTTAGAGCCCCCTTCCCCTGAGATTCCCTAATAGAGTCTTCCCTTTCCTGCCCTTAACCGAATTGCCCACGTCTTGGGCAGTTTCCGTATCTTAGTTCTTGCCAGGCACGATGTTTTGGTCGTCACTGTGCGCTAATTAGAGCTAACTTCGGGCTTGCTCTTCGCTAGGTACTCACTAAATGCTGCACGTGACTGATGCCATTTAACCCGCATCGTGAGTTACGTGTTTGCATCATTCTTCCTTTAAAGAAAAGGAAACCAAGGCCCAGAGAGGTCAGGGATCTTGCCAAGCTCACAAGAGAGACAAGATTTAAGCCCAGGTGGTCTGACTCCAAGCCCAAGAGCTTAAGCAATGAGTGTATGTGGAGTGAGTGAGTTGACTAGTGAGGGAAATAGGTGTGGGGAACACGGTTCTGGAAGGCTGCCTGGGGCGGGGGGTGGTTATTGGACCAGAGATCTGGGCCATGACTTGGTTGTAAGGAGTGAGGGAAGAACCCCTCTTAGGGCCTCGAGCCAACGTGGATAAATTGTGTCAGAGAAACATCACGTCCAGCAAGCTGACCAGAACCTTGAGGACTCCACACAAAGTTGGGACAACGTTCCTGTGTGGTGGGAAATAGTCTGGACTGGCAGCACGAAGGCTGGCCTGCTCTCAGGTCCTGGCTGTGTTGCTGTGTGATCTTAACAGAGTGATCTAACCTCTCTGGGCCTCAGCTCTATCTAGAAAAGGAGCAAGTCAGATTACAAGCTTCCAAGTCTCCATCCAGCTCTGACAATTGGCGTCTCAGAGATGGGAATGCATGAGGGAGTGAGGAGGGCGGTTTTGAGGCTCTCTTTGGGGCTGCTGCTCTGACAGATGAGATGTGGGCCCTCTTCAGGCTTAGCTGCCTGCAAACAGCCTCAGGACCACGTTCCCATGAAGCTGGGGAGATCAGCACATTTTCTCTCTAATTAGATAGTGGTAACTTATCAATTTTGAATGGGAGAAGTTTCGATGTATGATGTCCTGAATTGCTCCCTGGAGTGCTCATTAGTCACTT